GTGACTCATCAGCTGTGTACTCATCTAGTTGTACTCACCTAGTTGAAGTTGCAGGGGTCGAGTCCAAGCTCCTGGCCCCGCCATGAGCTGTGTGTGTGTGTGTGTGTGTGTGTGTTTGCACTTGCCTATCTGTGTTTGCAGGAGTCGAGACGCAGCTCCTGGCCTTGCCTCTTAACCGGCTTCGACTAGGTTTTTTCACCTGGCCTCTTGAGCCCAGTCCCATTAATAACGATAACAGAACTGTACCTATCTACCCATTATTATTACTGCTAAGACCCAATGAAAATAAGTAATTTCGACTTTCTCGGGCTATCCCAGTAATCTACATATATAAGCAGAAAGGACATAAGAGAGAAGGCACACTGCAGCAGGCCTACTGGCCCATGAGAGGCAGGTCCAGTTCTCCCACCGGCTTTAGCCAATGCCTTAACCAAGTCAGGTTAGTCACATTCACTTAATGGAGGAGCACGGCATCTGACCCAGTAGCACAAGCTAGTCAAGTCCAACTCACACCCACACATGCATTTATCCAACCTATGCTGCTATGCAAAAAAATAAATAAATAAATAAATAAAATAAAAAAAAAACAGTAAACAGGTGATATCACAATATGCAGAATAATCACTGTCAAAAAACAGTGAAATTCCAAGCGCTTTCGTGACTTCTCACATTATCAAGGAACTTATAAAAGCGGCTGGAATATCACTATTTTTTTTCACAGTGGTTGTTCTGCATATGCTGATATGTATGATAATTTATACAACTGCATTTATGTGTACCAGTAACTAAATAAACTTACTATTCACGGGGAAACTCTAAATCACGTGAGGGTTACACAGCTCTTGAAAAAACAGTAGATACCCAGGGTTGATCCGAGGAAAGGGAATGGGCAGCAATTATCCGTTGAATCAAGTCTTTTCAGCGCCCCCTTCCTTCCCTTCCCTGAAGGGACATCTTAGTTCAGAAACGACATCCTTGTTAATGGTGGCCAGACTCACAGCAAAGATGGCGCCACTGTAAACATCGCTGGGCAGTGTTTGTAAACATCACCTCTTGATTGGCTCTGTGTTTGTTCTTTCACTTCAAGCTTTTTATTTAATTTTTTATTTTTTAATTCGGGGCATTCTGGGATATCCCCGGGGAGAGACGAGGATTTTATTTAATAGGAGAAGAAAAGGGTTCATTCGTTAGGGTTGTATATGTAGGGTTTAAGTCAATAGGGTCTTGTATGTAAGGGTCCAGCCTGTATGGTCCAGCTCTTAGGGTCCAGTTTGTAGGTTCCAGTTTGTAGGGTCCAGTTCGTAGGGTCCAATTTGTAGGTTCCAGTTTGTAAGTTCCAGTTTGTAGGTTCCAGTTTGTAGGTTCCAGTTTGTAGGGTCCAGTCTGTAAGGTCTATCCCATAGAGTTCGATCTAAAGAGTCTGATCTGTAGGCTCCAGTCAATAAGTTTAAATTGTATAGGGTTCATGGTGTAGGGTTCAGTGTGGGATGTCAGCTGGTAGGGTTAATCTGGAAGGTTATGACCAGCATCAGAACAGGCAGAGCAACGAACAGGTGGCGGCAAGATGAGCCAGGATGAAGGTGAGTTGGGGCGAGTAGTTGGATGGGTGACTGAGAGAGGGGTGAGAAGGCTGGGGGGGGGGGTAGAGGGTAGTTGGCTATGGTTGTGGCTGTGAATGTGTAGAAGTCACTCCTGACTTCACATACATTATACATCTCATAGATTTATTTTTATCTGTACAGGGGGGTCCTCCTCTAATACGTTAAACTGGTTTATTATAGGCTTTAATCTGCAAGTATATATATATATATATATATATTATATATATATATATATAATATATATATATATATATATATATGGTCGTGCCGAATATGTAAAACTGGTCAATTAGCAAGAACTCATTTAAAATTAAGTCCTTTCTAAAATTTTCTCTTATACGTTTAAAGATATATTTTTTTCATTAATGTTGATGTAAAAATTTATAATTTTGCACCAAAACGAACTTAGAAAACTTACCTAACCTTATTATAACAAGCGCAATTTATTTTAGCCTAACCCAACTAAATATATTTTAGATTTGTTTACAATAATTTAATACTAAACAAACACAATGAAATATATTTTTTCGTTAGGTTCAGAATGATTTTGGCGAAATTATTGCATACACAAATTTTCACTTGTCCTATATGGCAAGATGAGCGTTGCTATTTAAGCCAAGATCGCAAGTTCTGCCTATTCGGCACGACATATATATATAAAATAATATATATATATATATATATATATATATAATATATATATATATATAAAATATTATATATATATATATATATATAAAATATAATATATATATATATATAAAATATATATATATATACATATATATCTTAAAGGAAGAGAGGATGAGTTTTAATACAAGGAAATGGAACCTGGAGGTTCTTGAACCTCGTGATGAACGAGGTTCTGTATTAAACTTAAAGCATTCGCCGTAGCTTCCTTGCCCCTCTCCAAGCTGATGGATGACATGCTTAGCCCAGCAGTACCCCAGCTTAAGTGGGTGAGTCAGTCGCCCCGTGTAGAGAGAGAGAGAGAGAGAGAAGAGAAGAGAGAGAGAGAGAGAGAGAGAGAGAGAGAATCTACACACTCCCGGGCTCATGTTAAGGTATCAGTCTATACATTAATCACAGTCTCCTGACGCGATTTCTGGTTGTCAGACTATTGGAATTTTTCGTCTGCAGAATAATTATTATTAGTGAGAAGCGCTAAACCCGCTAGTAAGCAGTAAATACCTTAACTACTGGGAGCACCTAGGAGCACTTGACTTGTACTCACTAGAGCGCAGGCGAGAGAGATATATCATAATCTACACCTGGAAGAATCTGGAGGGACTGGTCCCTAATGTCCACACAGCAATCACTCCATACGAAAGCAAAAGACTTGGCAGGCGATGCAACATACCCCCAGTGAAAAGTAGGGGCGTCACTGGTACACTAAGAGAAAACACTTTGCAAAAGCATTTGACAAATGCGATCATGGCGTAATAGCCCATAAAACACGTGCTAAAGGAATAACTGGGAAAGTGGGGAGATGGATCTTCAACTTCCTAACAAATCGAACACAAAGAGTAGTGGTCAACAGAGTTAAATCGGAGGCTGCAATAGTGAAGAGCTCTGTTCCACAAGGCACAGTACTCGCCCCCATCTTATTCCTTATCCTCATATCAGACATAAACAGAGATATACACCACAGCACCGTATCATCCTTTGCGGATGATACTAGATCTGCATGAGGCTGTCATCTGCTGAGGACGCGGTTAACCTCCAAGAAGATATAAACAAAGTTTTCCAGTGGGCAACGGTAAACAATATGATGTTCAATGAGGACAAATTCCAACTACTCCGTTATGGAAAACTGGAGGAGATAATAACTAGAACAGAGTATACTACTGACTCCGGCCATACAATAGAGCGGAAAAATAATGTAAGGGACCTGGGAGTAGTAATGTCTGAGGATCTCACTTTCAAGGATCACAACAGTGCCCACGATCGCACGTGCAAAGAAAATGATAGGATGGATAATGAGAACTTTCAAAACGGAGATGCCAAGCCCATGATGATCCTTTTCAAATCACTTGTTCTCTCTAGGCTGGAATACTGCTGTACATTAACATCTCCATTCAAAGCAGGTGAAATCGCAGATCTAGAGAGTGTACAGAGATCCTTTACTGCACGTATAAGTTCTGTCAAGCACCTTAACTACTGGGAACGCTTGGAAGCACTTGACTTGTACTCGTTGGAACGCAGGAGGGAGAGATATATCATAATCTACACTTGGAAAATCTTGGAAGGAATGGTCCCAAATCTGCACACAGAAATCACTCCCTACGAAAGTAAAAGACTGGGCAGGCGATGCAAAATGCCGCCAATAAAAAGTAGGGGCGCCATTGGTACACTAAGGGAAAACACTAGGGGAATTGCCAATAAACCCCTGGCTGCCTTCAAGAGAGAGCTGGACAGATACCTAAAGTCAGTGCCGGATCAGCCGGGCTGTGGCTCGTACGTTGGACTGCGTGCGGCCAGCAGTAACAGCCTAGTTGATGAGGCCCTGATCCATCGGGAGGCCTGGTCATGGACCGGGCCGCGGGGGCGTTGATCCCCGGAATAACCTCCAGGTAACAGCCTCCCACCAGCAATAATGGGCATTACCAGTAGACTCCTGGTTGTCTTCAAGAGAGAGCTGGACAGATACCTAAAGTCGGTGCCGGATCAGCCGGGCTGTGGTTCGTACGTTGGATTGCGTGCGGCCAGTAGTCAGGCCAGGTCAGGCCCTGATCCACCGGGAGGCCTGGTCGTGGACCGGGCCGCGGGGGCGTTGATCCCCGGAATTCCCTCCAGGTAGCGCTTGGGGTATTATTTCAAGGGGTGGGGGGGGCGCTAAACCCATACCTGGAGAGGTTTTCAGGGGTCAAAGCCCCCGCGGCCAGGTCTGTGCTCCAGTTCCTTGGATCAAGAGGCTGTCATGAAATTCCCCCCTTTTCAAAAAAGAATTTTAATTTTTTCCCTCATTTTTTTTATATTTAATATTTTTTTATGCCATTATTATATTATTATAGTTCTTAAATATTTGTTTTTTCACTATTATTTATAGGTAAGCCCTAAACCTATCGGGGTCATAGAGCGCTTGGGGAAGGGTAATCAGGTTCGATCCAAGGAACAGATCTACTTCCCTGGATCAAGAACCCTTCACCAATGTGTTTTGGTCAAGTGTCGTAATTTTTCTCAATGATTTGTAATTTTTATTTTATCTGCTATTTAAAATAACAGTAATAATTATTACTATTATTGGTCATACAGTACATAGGGAATAGGAGGCAATCAGGCTTTGATCCAAGGATGTGGAGGGCAGCTCCAATTCTTTCGATCAAGAGCCCTTTTTATCAACCACAATTCCCCCCCCCCAAAAAAAAAAGTGGTCAAGGATACTAACAAACAACAACAATCACTTGAAACATATAAAAATTTATTTGTGAGCCCCAGGGAGACAGTGCCACAACTGGCACTGCCCCGGGCACTGCCTCTACAAAATATAAAAAAAGACTGTATTGAAGAAATGCCTTGTGGTATAACTGTACAGGGAATATCTTGGTATAACTGTACAAGGAATATCTTGGTATAACACTATGTACAACAATAAAACAGCTTTTATTCCTGGCAGAAGGAAAAGATCAGAAATAAAAACAGGGGAGAAAAAAATTTAATAAAAATATTCACGAAACCGAGAACGGTAAAAAAAAAGACAGGAAATTTTAAAAGGCAGGAAACCTCCCGAAATCCAAAATAATTTAATAGGTTTGTCACTGAAAATAATGAGATCATATGTGAAGATTTCTGATGTTCGTAGTTCTTTCAAAACAAAAAAAAAATTCTGTCTTAGAGCTATAGACTTTGACAAGTTTTGAGCAACTATATTTTTTTTGCTTTTATTCTTAATAATATATATGCAAATTATTCATAATGTACAGGAATTTCCTTCTACCGATTCAAAAATTTCTATAAACTTTGAAAGAGTAAACATAGCGAACATTAAATAAACATTATTAAACGTCCCCCAAAATAAAACATGACAAAATATTTGACATGGTTATTACTAAGAAAAGTAATATTGGTGTACTGACTAGAATTCCAAAGACAAAAACAAAAAAAGAAAAAAAAACCTGCCATGTTTTCCTATTAGCCTCGTCAATACTCCATTAAAAAGTAGCGACGTTGTAAACATCAGGTAACATTAGCAACCGGTGACATGATCAACAGGTGATGTCATCAACATCAGGTGGGTTGTAAACACAGTCAGTCCAGTGACATCATGTAAGTACTTGAAAATAATACCAACTGGCCATCACCAGCGAGTTCTTCGCCAGTGACTTGTCAAATTCTCATATCACAATTTTCCCCCCATCAACCCCTTCAAAATTATCCTCAAAGAACAATGTGAAAAAGAAAAAGGTAATCATACTATTGTTTCAAATTACTCTGGGAGAACGTAAATATGTCTTGTAAGATGGTTTATTGCACTAATGACGTCACTGGAGCTTGATCCAATGCCCGCTGGGGAAGCAAAATGGCTGAGGAGTCAGCACGCCTTCGTCTACGGCTCAAATCTGAAACAAAATGAAAAGGCAATGGTTATCTTACGAATTAGTCTCAAGGATTCAATAATATACTGGATAAAGTAATGGATAAAACATCTGAACCATTTGAGTGAATTGCTAAAAACATAATGGTTAATTTTGCAACTATCCATTAACTTTGAAATATAAGGAAGCGTCTTTCTGGAACAGTTACCAAATATTCGCTACCTGAAGATGGTCCAAGAGCACTCGAAACGTCGTTTGGCATCGTGATTTTAATGTTAAGCAGAAAATAAGCCAGTTGTCAGCAAATGTTAGAAAATAAATTGATAAAATTAGTGTTTACCTATTCAGTTCAACAAGATGAACATAGTCGTCAATTCAAGAACCAAGAACTGAAGATGTGGCTCAAAACTTGTGGCTGTCGACTTCGTCTCTGCACTGTTGTCGACTGGTATCCCCTGCAGTACACTCATCCTGGTATTCCTTCGTCTTCCAAAACGTTCACACATCAACCTGCATCATAGCCCGGTCTTTCCTTGACGTTCGTCCATGTTGCAGTGGCAGTCACGAAATGTATAGTCTCTTAGGGACCTTTGTTTATCTCAGCTTCTTCAACCAATTTCACTATTACGATCAATATACACCTTTTGTCTCTCCCAAAAAATAGACTGTTGTTCTGGAGACCCGAAGCTTTCTCTGTCCTTTCAGTTCGTAAGAACTACACAACTTCAAACCGTCCACTTACACTTACATACGACAAAAGAATCACAGAAAGCCTCTCTCTAACAATACGGTTAACATGACTTACACTCAATGGTTGTTCTTTTCCACGAGAGAAACATTAGAGCAAACTGTAGATGGTTGGCAGCTGAGGCTAGTAAATTTGACATCACCGAGATGATTTTTGTGCACCATTTTATTGGCCAGACTGCGTTAACTGCGACTGGCTGGCTTAAATCTTTAGTGGTACTGCTGAAAATATTATTAGGAAACAATGGTTGAAGGCACTGGCACCGTTATGGACGCTTTGAAAGCTTGGCTAGGACTTTGGTCCCGATCCAACATGTCTCTCGTGTACAATACTATTGACTTCACTAGAGTACAGTAAGTCTATGTTGGACAGATAATTCTGTCTTTCGTTGTAAACACGAAAGAATATATATATATATTTATTTCAATGTATATAAAAATCAACACTCGTTGCAGTACTCCCAGACTCCCTGCCTATAGCAGAAAGCTACTGGAACCAATCCACGTGTGGGAGAGACCGCAATCTGACAAAAGGTGATCAGTTTCCTCAGTCATGCTGGAAAAGTCGAAATGGGACCCCGAGCTTGTGCTGACGGCGTCGAAGTCAATATCAGCAGCATCAAGGGAATCCAAATCCATCTTTATGTCAGAAATGGGAATGAAATCTGTGATGTTGTACAAGTCGTCCAGAGTGGCGTGTTCCACCGTCTGTTCATTGGAAAACTCATGTGAACTTTTCATTTCTGTTTTGATCTCTGTCTTAAAGTGAGGTGTGGTTGGAGATTCACTTACGGGAGAGCAGAGACCAGGCGACGCTAGACTCTGTGGAGTGTAGACGGATTCGTAAAGATCTTCCGGTTCCTGCTTTATTATGCTGGGACTGGAGTGTGTGTTGTGGATGGATGTGTGATTGTGTGTGGTCAGAGAGTTGGAACTGGTAGATGAAGTGGTTGAATGGTACTGGGAGGTGACAGAAGGGTTATAGGAGAAGGCTGGCTGGTCTTCGTACATTGAGGCACTCTCGGGAGAATCTGGGAGATCACATGGAGGGCTGTCGGGCACTTCTGGGGGGGACTGTGGGGTTAGTGCCATGGCACCATTCTGAGGCATCCTATGAGACCTCTTGAAGTCATCGTCGATGGTAATCTTAATGCCCAGTTTGTTGTGATCGACATCGAGACCATGAGTATGAGTGATGCGTGTGTTGCTGATCATATTCACCACATTCTTGGCCCGGTCCTTGGTCATGGTGTGGTCTTTGGCCTTCCCGATCTTTCCCCCATTCTTCTCTGTCACGCCTTTCAGCTGGGCTTTCTGTCCCTTCTTACGTGGGCGGTACTTTGTAGTTGGGGTACTCGCGCATGTGCAGCTGCTTCAGACGCTCAGCTTCGTCACGGTAGGGCCTCCGCTGCTCCTCTGAAAGCAGCTTCCAGCGGCGTCCCAGCTGCTTGGAGATCTCCGCGTTGTGCATGTCAGGAGCGAACTTGATGATCTCCCGCCTCTCCATCTGTGACCACACCATGAAGGCGTTCATTGGCCGCTTGATGTGGTTGGGCGGATGTTTCTTAGTCTGGAAAAGACAAAAATAAAGATTTTTAGACTGAGCAAAAAAAAAAAAAAATATATACAGCTTCTTTAAATGTCCTTTTTTAAAGCTAGAAATTTAAATAAAAATAAGTGGAAGTGGAAATATAAGTTGCAATTACGTGTTATTTTCAGATTAATTATACATAATATATAAATGTACTCAAAACAAACACACACACACACATATATATATATATATATATATATATATATATATATATATATATATATATATATATATATATATATATATATATATATATTTACAGTTTTGTAAAGCCCATTTGTAAATTTTTAACAAAATTATTCATCTTCACTACTTCCAGATCTGGGCAAAATATTAATTAGCGATAGTTCCAAATTGAAAAAAAAGTCCCCTCCCCCTCCATTAATAATTGTGTTGACGTGTGCTCCCTGCCCCAGCCCATGGTTGCCACACACACTGTCATCTCCCCTTCCCTCTTCCCCCTCCACCCACCTGCCAATCACGAGCTGTCATCACAAGGACTGACACACAGGAGCAGATGGCGAGGGGTCCCTAACCTCACCCCTCTCCATTCCCAATACTCCTCTTCAAGGCAACCTGTTGTCAGGGTCACTGCGAATCTTCTATACGTCACCTCCACCACCGGTGCACTTCCCTCATGGGTAGTGTTTCTTGATGCTGGTGAGAGGGGCTCTTGAGCTAAAGCAGTGAACCTGTTTTCCAATTCTTCAAGACTACGGTAGTCTTCACCAACTTCAAGGCTGAGGGACAGATTACCTCGTCTTTTGCATACAGTTCTGCAGTCTTCCCATTATGTCCTTGAATTTGTACTGATAAAGCCACTGGATGGCGAAACGTTTACAAATAAAGTCACCCAGATTTTTCACATGTGTCTAAGTCTTCCTTTCTCCCCAGGTGCTGTATTACCCTCACGGGTTTGGCACTTCCCCCATGAATGTAATAATACTGAACACTGACAGATACAGAGAAAGACCCAGCATGTCTATCACAGCTACAAAATACTATATGCACAAAACACACACAATGCGGGGACACACACACACACACACACACACACACACACACACACACACACACACACACACACACACACACACACACACACACACAGTTATCAACGAAGGCTTTATCCCTAGTCCTCCCTCCTGCTCCTCTTCCTCCCGAGAGCGAGAAAGGGGGAAAAAATAAGGTGGGGAAGTAGTTGAGTTTCGTCCTTGTTCCAGCACCCAAGAAGTGTGTCACTACGGCCGACAGATACACGCGCCGACGCAGGCTTCACCCTCGGGAACACGCGAGCGACTCCACACCCATTCCACTGACACGCGAGATTCAACAAGAGGCGTACCCTGTGTGTGTCAGCCTCGCGTCATTCTATTTACACAACTTGGGATAACACAAGTGCCTTGTTCCATAAGTAAAACCATCAAATGGTACAATTAAAGCCTTGTCATATCTCCATGCATCAATCATGAAGCCTTAATCAGCGGAGAAACCTGTATACTACAGCCGTTTTCCCCCAACAAAAAAAAATATATTCACCATCATTCGTTCAACAGCAGTCGTGCCAGAGGTGCACAAGAATCACACTTCAAACGACCCCCTGTGAAATGAAGAGTCATCATCCTAGTTGATCAGGCCCTGATCCATCGGGAGGCCTGGTCATGGACCGGGCCGCGGGGGCGTTGATCCCCGGAATAACCTCCAGGTAACCTCCCATCATTCAAATTGCTCATTGAATATCTTGTAATGTTTGAATATCTTGTAATGTTTGAAAATAATTTAGAAGGGGGGACATTTAAGCCACCTGCCCGACTCGGCCAAGTAAGCTAAAGCTCCGCTGATCTGGTTATAGGAGTAACACTCGTGTTAAGAGACATTTTTACCCTTCTAACAAACAAAACACCACCACTATTATCGCTACCACCACCACCATTGCCACTACCACCATTCCAACCACCAAAGCCGCAGAGACGGGATATAAAATACATAACTCTCAAGCAACAGCGACACATACACCTCAACCGTGACGGGAACTTGACCTCAATCTTCCCTACGTGTAGAACTTATTATTGAGCGAGTTTTACTTCGGGGTACGACAGAGGGGATTGATATAAGAGCAGCAATAACTTAAACCCCTCTACCTTCGCTCTTTTTTTCTCTCATGATTCAGAACTCCTTCTCTCTCCCTCTCCATACCAGTCCACTAACACACAACTCCACTGAAGTACAAGCCCACTGACCTGAAAGCTGCCACGGAGACTCAGTAAAGCAATTACGTAGAAATAGTTTCAAAAAATGGACCCGATTTGAATATATATACTGCTTTGAAATCGAGTCCATCATTTTGAAACACCCTGAAAGAAACCGGTTCGACAGGCGAGTGCAAAAAATCCAATATAAACAGTGTGTCGCCTAAGAGTAGTACAGTAGCTCTACTGTAATATTCTTGTGATAAATCAGAAGACCTACTGCTGTGTCCTAACTTTCTTGACAGGGTTCTGCATTATTTTGCTCAATTAAAAGAAAACCCCATCACTGCCCACTCCAGTTGCTTCCCCTCACAAAGACCCCTCAGTTACCTTCGGACCCCTAAGGTACCCTCGGACGCCTAAGGTACCCCTCGGACCCCTAAGGTGCCATCCGACCCATCGCAAGGGGTAACTAAGGGAAACAGGATTAGTGTCTAGTGACGCAGATTACCTGACGCAACTTGACAGGTTGTGAGGAGATAATTGTTCCCTGGAATATTACGGCGAGACCACAGTCCCCTTCCCAAGTGACGATGAAGGGACACACAGGAGAAGTGATGCTGGTGGTGAAGAGGATACAGTGGTGATAGGAAGTGGTGATGGAGATAGTAAATCATGACTTGAAGTGGTAGCGTTGAGAAGTGGCGTAGTAAGAAGTGGTGAGGGGAAAAAAGGGCGAAATGGTGGTGGCTGGAAGAGGTAAAGATGGTTAGAAGAGAATTGATGGTAATGGGGTGTAAATCTGAAGCTGGGCAGATGAAGTGGGAGGCGGGGAGTATGCTCGACACACACACACACACACACACACACAACACACACACACACACACACACACACACACGTCAGAGAGGGAGACTGTTGTTGCTGCTGCTGCTGGTAGGGAGTGGTAGTAGTGGTTATTGGTGGTAGTGGTGGGGTAGTAGTGGTGGTGGTACTGGTGAGCGTGCAAGAGCAAGCTCCACCTCCCAGGCAGGAACCACCCACCAGTACCAGGAAATGCCTGCAGAAGACACTGACGGTGAGTCATGTTATCAGCAACAAGAAGAATAACAACAACGAGAACAGAGACCCAAGGGTCACAGAGCGTAGCAACGACAGGCGTGTCGTGTGTGTGTGTGTGTGTGTGTGTGTGTGTGTGTGTGTGTGTGTGTGTGTGTGTGTGTGTACACACACCCGTGTATACTCTCCTTGTAAGAGAGCAAGAGGTCCTTATTAATCTCTCGCTATCAGGGCGTATTTTGTCCGTCGGTAAGAATCAGAAAAAAAATATACCTTGATTTTTGGACTGCGCAGTGGTTTATTATATATACATATGCGTAGGGATTGAACAACAGCCTGGGAATTAGAAGAGGTAAAGGGGAATATTCTTTGAAAGCATTGAATCAAGAGCCATGCGATCAAGGCGGTCCACTGGCTCACCGGTCCACTGGCTCACCGGTCCACTGGCTCACCGGTCCACTGGCTCACCGATCCAATGGCCCACCGGTCCACTGGCTCACCGGTCCACCCAGTGAAAAATCAATATCACATTATAAGATGTGCCGCCAGCTGTCAGTGGTTGGTCATATAGAGAGAAGCGAGGTGGGGCACCGATAACAGTTAAGTGTGGGGGGAAAGGGGTGGTTGGGGTGGAAGAGGGGGGAGGGAATACAGCAGCCCAGCAACAAGGAGTGGGGACGTGGAGGGAGGGAGGGACACATACCTCGGCGGGTACCTCCCGGTGAGGGATAACTAAGGAATGAGCACACACACACACACACGGGGCCAGGAGCTATGAATCGACCCCTGTAACAACAAATAGGTGAATAACACACACGCACACACACACACCGCCAACACCGCACACACACACAACACACACACAACACACACACACACACACACACACACACACACACACACACACACATCCAAGCCCTAACTAGTTCCCCTCTAAACTCTAGCACAATAACTTATAGCCAACCACACCCTACCCCACATCCTCTCTCCCCCAAACCCCCATTACTTTCTTCCCATTACCCACGGGCAAAGGACAGGTAAACCAGGACATGCGGGTTATTTGTGTAGAATATGGTACACAAACTAGACTTCATGTGGGGCGACAGCACAGAAATGAAGGGATTCTTAAATGCAGTGCAATGGGAGAGGCAACTGGAAGCCAAGACACAGAATGAGATGGAGTATTTGAGACTGATATAGCATCGAAAGCTAGATCTAAACTAAAGATATCGTACATCCAAATCAGAAGGAAAAACAAACAGGCAGTACAGCAGGACGACGGAGGAGAGCTCGCACGAAATGACCAAAAGTTTGTAAGGAGTTGAACTCCAAAGAAAACTAGGATTTTCTCAAGAAGTGTGAGCAATACCCGAGACTCAGAGTATACCAAAGAGTACCGGACACACTACACACAACACGAAGAGTACAGGACACACAACAAAAGAGTACAGGACATACAACACAAAAAGTACAGGACACACAACACAAAGAGTACCGGACACAATACACACAACGAAAGAAGTGATGAAACTACTGAGTGATCTGGATACCTCAAAGACAACGGGACCTGACAGTATTTCTCACTGGGTTCTGAAAAGGGAGAGAAGCACTGTGTGCACCAGTCTATAAGTCAACTGACACGGGGGCAACTGCCTCAGGTAATCCTAGTATTTGAGAACGGGGAGAGACAGATATCAAGCTACAGACGTGTCACTGACACGCATGCTA